TTTTCCCTGGGTTTGTTTTTGTTTGGTTGGTGTTTTTGCTTTTTTTTTTTTTTGCTTTGAGGATACAAGCCAGTATCAGTTCTTCACACAACTTACCAAATTCAATTTTCTCTCGCACTTAAGTTGAACTTGCAGAATAAGAGGATAGCCAAATGTTTTAAGTTGGATGGGACCTCTGGAGGTCACCCTGTCTACCCACCCTGCTCAAGCAGGGCCACCAAGAGCTAACAGGTGGCCCAGGTCCATGTTCAGGCTTTTTGAATATCTCTGAGGATGAAGACTCCACAACCTCCTGGGCAATCTGTGCCAGTGCTTGGTCGCCCTCACAGTGAACAAGTAATTCCTGATATTCAGAAGGAATCTCCTGTGTTTCAGTTCCTCTTGTACAATCTGTCAGAAGCTGTTACATGTATTGACTAAATTTGTGTTTTTTTTCCAGTGAACACATAACCATTTGGTGCAGCTTCCCACACACAGAAGCCATGATTATGCTTGTGTTTAGTTTTTATGATGTTTTTGTTTGGTTTTCATCTTGCAGGGTAAGTCTTACCCCTTTAAAGGTCCATTCCCTCCTATGTGGAATCCAGTGGCCTACCTGGACTACAACAACCTGTGGAGGACCATGGATGAAATGGGAAAGGAGGTATGGTGTGAAGAATTGCATCTGACTGTCTTAGTTCAGCTTTGCCTCCAGGAGGGGCAGATTGAAGATGGGACTGTGATGCAGAGAGGCAAAGCTGCTCTAGCTTGAACAAACCTGGTGCTGGGAAGAGCAGCATCACCCATAGATTTTGGTGCCCACTGATGTTCAGAGCATGTGTATAAGTGGCATCCTGGTAAGCTCTTCTGAAGGTCATGCTGATGCATGAAGGTCTTACCTTCATATTTCTGAATATACAAACATTAGGGTTTATGCATGTGATTTTCAGCACTTTGCCTGATAATTGCTTAAGTAGTATTTTAAGAGGCTTTTACAACTCAAACATATGTCCTTCTCCATCTTTAAATTCAACTTGGCCATTTTAGTTTACCATCAGTATATGTTTTCCACTGAGTGAGCTACAAGACTTGGGAAGAGGTTGCTGTTGCTTGCATAGGTGAATGAGAGAGATAAGAGATATTCCCCAGCACTGTACTTTGCCTTTCTAGGCAATGGTCTTAGCTCCTAAAATTCTTTTCTATTCTTCAATAAAATAAAAAAAAGACAAAAGAAAAGAAAAAAATCTTAAGCAAACAAACAGCAGAAAACCTAAAAGTATCCTCTGTTGTTTGCTGTATTACCCAACAGCAATTTACAGGGTGAATTACCATGTAAAGATGAGATTGTTTGTGTTTGTTGTCTTTCTTATGCCACTCATTCATCTGCTGATGAATGCACTTTTCTGTCTCCTTAGATTCCCAGCGAAGCCCCATGGAAGGCTCCACATGCAGAAGAATGGGACAAAATGACTATGCAAGATTTCATAGATAAAATTTGCTGGACAAAGTAAGAAACTATGAAATAGCTTATATTTATATACCTTGCAGCTCCAAATAAACATTACTGCTTTGCAAACCGATATAGCTACCACTACAATACAGCTATTTTAAAGAAATCAGGTGAGAAAATCTTGTAGTAACAGACCACACCACCTGTCAGCACACACAGTAGATTCTGTTACATTTCCATAACTTTTAGACTAAAATAAAGATAAAATGAAAATGTATTTGGGGAAGGTTACTTCTGAAGAGATGGGTAGTACCTTCATCTGTTATGTACATTTTCCCTGTCCTTACTGTGTGTTTAACCTTTAAAAGAAAAAATGCCCTGGCTACAGCAGGTTTTGAATGAAACTTTTGATGGAACAACAGATGTTTATTTTGTGCTGGACCACCTGATTTTACCAAAGTGCTATAAAAAATAACACTTGTCTTGGAATAGCACTAAATCACTCTAACACCCATCATTCTATTGTTTAACTGCTGCACTATATACCACCCAGGGAAACGGAAAATGCTTCCTTTTTTTGTGTATACATCAAAGCAATTTTTCTTTACTTGCTACTCAACAACAGGTTGATCGGTTTTCTTTGCACCGAAGAAAAAAATCCATTGATTCTGCCTTGCTGTTAGGCAGATTGATTTCTACAGCCACCTCTTCAGAATTGCTAAGCACCCAACACAAGGCTGCCCCGAGCCTGCATGAGCTCTGTGCAAAAGCCTGCTAGCACCCACTCAAGCTGACACTGTCATTGACAGGGGCATTTTTTTATGGCCTCAGCCAGCCTCTAGAGGACAAGAAGATTATTGTTAATGGACAGAAGGCTCTTATCCAAAAACTTTCAATCTTCTGGTTGTTTTGGGTGACAGTTGCACGAAAGGATATAGAAAGCCTTTCTTGTTTGTGTCATGGTTCATGTTCAGTAAAACCAAATATAAATATCTGCTGGTGGTTCTGCTAGCCATCTGACCATCTGATTTGGTAAGGAAGTATACAAGTTAGCAAACTGACACACATTGGTAGTAATTCAATATCGAATAGCTCACGTGACTACAATCATATTTTTTTCGAACTTTGATGGAATAACATTTGACATTTTCCCTGAATATTGGCATAACTATCAGCCTCCCTCAGTTCCAAGATGCTTTTCAGATTTTATATGTGCATCTCAGCTTGATTTGCCAGTATGTTCAAGATTCAGGTAACATGCCATAGAAACTTCCCACCCTGGAAGGTAATGTTCCAGAAGAGTAATCTTCTGCTGCTTACTGTCTGTCATCTAACAGACCATACAGATTTGCTCTTAGCTACAGTTGCATGCTGGAAATACCCTGTGTGCTCTTGGTTGAAATCATACTGCCATTTCTAGGTAGAATACCAGGAGAAACTGGGGAACTGCAACGTTGAAAAGCAGTGGGGGAAGGTGGCAGAAACTGAGAGAATTTAACCACCATCTAATAGCTTCTGCTTATGAAGTATTAATACATACATATACTAATTCTTCCATTAGACAAAATATCTTTCAAAGTTGATTGTATTTTACAGTATGTTTATACAGGCAAAAATTGATAAATATTTTCTGTATTATTTTTGGCTATCAAGAATGAAACCAGAATGCACCTGTATTTCAGAAAATGGATCAGCCTTTTAGTCCAGTGGGACTTTGCATTTTTAGAACAGAATATGCCTTTTTTCTGTGTAGATCTACAGCTGTTTGAAACAGTATGTTTGAGCTATGCTTTTCACTTTTTTTTTTTTTTTGGTCAAAGTTCAAAGACTGAAAAGAGAAGGAAGCAACTAAAAGCAGACTCTGTTCCATTTGGGAAGTTACTGATTGCCTGATGCCTTGCGTATGAAACAGCAATCACAATGCAGTTAAGCCGAGCATTTCTTGGTCCTCTCTGTGTCCCTTTAAATTCTTCCTGAGAGTGAGGCAGAGGAAATATTTGCTTCTAACAGGATGAATGTTTCCCTAAACCTTAATTAACTCCTGTCTTGGTGTAGCCCAAAATCTTGTGCAGGTTTATACAGTAATCTTCAGAAGAGCTGTTATGAAAGCACCAACTAGAGGACTTTTTTTTGAGACACAGGCCAGTTTTCTCTCTCCGTGTTCATTACCACTGGCTACCAGGCCACCGTTTAAATTACTAAATTGAGGAACCAAAAGTATCCCTTCCCTTTTTGTTGCCAAGGTTTTTGCATGAATGTGTATATACTGTTTCTTCGCTATGGCTTCCTATTCACATTTCTTTCCTTGTCATGTTCCAGCTGCATCACCCTCCCTGAGCACACCAGAGGAGCAGGCAGTAAGGGGATGCTGACTAATCCAGAGAGTTTAGATTATTAGCTTAGAAAAGATCCCTAACTTTTTTATGACGAATGTTGGATAATCTCCATGCTGTGTGTTTGAGGGATAGGCATGCAGCAGGTGCAAACAGAGCTGCAGATCCTGTATGTAACCCAGGAACAATGGGAAGACATGGTGGTTTTAGAGTCCAGTGAAGGCAGGAGGACTTGCTTCCCTTAATCCTGAGTCTAGAATGACCATCTAACTTTGCATTAGTAGCATAAACTGACTTAAGATTTCATGGGCTCTTGTGTCTCCTGGAGCCCTAATTTGGCTGGATTACAGCAGTACTTGATTAACTTTTTTTTCTTGTAGGGTTACTTGAAAAATGTTGCATAAAAGGAATTGATAGTTTCCTACTTCGACTGAAATTAAGGAGTCCTTTACTCACAGTGAAAGAAGAGGTTGCCAAAGACAGTCTTACCCCTACTCAAGAGCAATCTTGTCACTCTTCTCGGGTTTTTTAATTAACATACTTTATTATGTTTGCTGCAGTGCTGCCAAGAGTTTTGCAACTCTGTTTGTGAACGTGGATGTTACTTCTGAGCCCCATGAGGTCTCTGCCCTTTGGTTTTTGTGGTACGTGAAGCAGTGTGGGGGGACAACAAGGATATTCTCAACGACCAATGGAGGACAGGTACTGCCAGCCATCACCTTCTGCAACTCATGACAGGCCCTGATTTAACTTCATTCTTCTGCTTGAATATTTTAATTCATAGGGCCAACTGTGATATCCATGATTGCGAGCCAGTAACACACTGATAACTAGTTCTATTAATTAACATGTTAATCTGGATCTTGCAAAACTAGTGTTAAAGGCTGTTCCTGTGCTAATGGCATTGGCCCAAGGATCAGTAGGTTTATATCTGTTCCTGACTCTGGCTTCCTTTTGGGCTCTGGTTACAACATGCACTTTGCTTTACCATGTTGAAAAATGAAAGTTTTACTTATGCTTATTTCTGTCACGAGGCTGAAGCAAGCCTTACCACTTCAGAAGCACTTAATGGAGATGGCAATGTTAGCTGCACGAGTGTGGAGAGCACTCCAAATTAATGCTGAAAACGCAGCCCAGAGCTGAGTTCCTAAAGGTGCAAGCTTCCAAGGATTCAAACTGTTAAGATTTTAAAATTAGTCTGAGAAAAACAAATACCCCTGCTTAAATATGATATTGCTCTGAAATTTTTGAAATCCAGTATATTAGTGCTGCTTCTAACTTTTTAGAAAGTAAAGATACTACTGATGATCTTCATGAGAAATGCAATTTTTGCTAATTGTATGACAAATTATATTTTTCGAAATGCGAATTATTTAATCATTAATAAATAAAATACAAATACATTAAAACATGATAAAATACATAAATATGTGCAGATAAGCAAGAATTACAGATAATTTAACTGTAAATACATTGAATAAAATATTATTTGTATTAAGTTAGAGGTGATTTGAGTTTGAATTAGGTTATATTATATACTGCAGGAGACATTTTGATGTGAGCTACATCACTTCTTATACCTTGTTATTTATTATAAGGACTGGGGTTCCTAATTCTGATACACAGACCTCTACAGCGATAAGACTGAACTCAGAAAAAGCTTTAAAAGTTTAAGCACTTTTCAGTAGTCTTGCTGATTCACACAGGTCTGTGAAATCCATTTAGAGACCACATGCGAAGGGATTTTCTCATGAGGTTACTAATACTTCTAGTTTTGGCTGGCAGTCAAATATGGGAAGGATTTGAGGAGCTCACCGAGATATCCACTGATGTTGATAGGTTTTCCGGATGAGACTGCCGAATTTCCCAGAAACGTTCTGGTAACAACAGAATGGAGTTTTTTTTGAACACCAAGCAAAACATTTGTATTGATGCACTTCACAAGCACTATTCTGCTGAGTCCGCTTTGCCAAGTTATTTTCTGTGTTTCAGGAGAGGAAGTTTGTTGGAGGCACTAGCCAGATCAGTGAGAAAATAATGGAGCGCTTGGGAGGCCGGGTGAAGCTGAGGAAGCCAGTCATTCGCATTGACCAGTCGGGTGAAACTGTTGTAGTGGAAACCTTAGATCATGAATTATATGAGGTAATGAAACCTCTAACATTTAAGCAACTGTTCATGCTGGGATGGCTAGAAAACCTTTAGCTTTTCCTTTCTGACTTCTCCAAAATCCTGCACAAAAATGTAGCAGAGATGTAAGTCACTGTGACAGAAAGTTGTACTTTCTGATTGTCCCAAAGAAAGAGCAGTGATAAAGCTTGAAAGTGATGCCTGAAAAGCAAAGTGTGTATTCAAACTCATCCTTTGCTAGCATCCCTTCTTTGTGTTCAGTTACCTTCCAAAATAAATGATAATTGTAAAGTGAACACAAAAATGTAGCTTAGTAATAACCTTTCTGTGCTTGCCTACCAACACAATGTCTTCTCTTAAAGACATTGCAGGTGTTGCTTCCAAGTTGTAACAGAGGAGTCCAGATGGAAGGGAGACCAACGGACTCTTATAACACAGTGCTTGGTTTTTTATAAGTGCTGGGGAAAGAGCAGCTGCCCATCATTCAAACAGATGGATGTCTATATAATGCTTGTTATTTAATAAGCAGGTTTTTGTGAGGGTTCAGTTTTGCAATTCTTACCCTAAACGCCAACATTGCTTCAAAAGACACACCCTGCAGCCTCCCCAGATGCCTGCCAATCTCAATAGAACAATATACTTAGAATGAAGTAGTGGAGAATATATTTGGCTTATATATAATTTCTTTTCCAGGGCAAGTATGTGATCAGTGCCATTCCCCCAGCTCTTGGTCTGAAGATTCATTTCAACCCACCTTTGCCCCCAATGAGAAACCAGCTCATCAACCGAATCCCTATGGGCTCAGTCATCAAGTGCATTGTGTACTATAAGGAAACTTTCTGGAGGAAGAAGGGTATTACATTTTAATTGAAAGGAGTAGTAAAGACAGAGAGAGGGAAGAGGGTACATGGTAATGGGGTAGATTTTGTGTTTAGAGGATGCTGGACCTTAGAAGGAGAATTTGTACACTTCTATGCCATTTTTGCCTTCCCCTATTTGAGAAACTTGAGAAATTGGGAAAAGAGGAGGATGGGGAAGTAAAAAGAAGGAGGTAAGCATGAAGGGATAACTCATGTATGTCGTTTGTTGCCTTCATTGTTCTTTGTTATCCTTTCCTTTCCTTTAGTGGCACCTGGCTATGAAATGAGCCTCTCCCACTTTTATAGTAACATAAAAGGTACAAGTGATGTGTGATGGAAAGAGATTTTATCCCATCAGTTGTCAGCCTGCAAAAATTCTGCCCTCTGGATGCACTGAGCAAGATTAATTGAAGGTGTCTTCACATCTGCTATTGGCAGGGACACCTTCCACTAGACCAAGTTGCTTGAAGCTCCATCCAACCTGGCCTTGTACACTTTCAGGGATGAGGCACCCACAACTACCCTGGGCAACCTTTTCCAGTGCCTCACCACCTTCATAGTAAAGAACTTCTTCCTAATATCTAATCTAAATCTAACCTCTTGCAGTTTAAAGCCATTCTTCCTTGTCTTATTACTACCTGCTCTTATAAAAAGTACCTCTCAGATTTCTTGTAGGCCCCTTTCAGGTACTGGAAGGCTGCTCTAAGGTCTGTCCGGAGCTTTCTCTTCTCCAGGCTGAACAAGCCCAGCTCTCTCAGCCTGTCTTCATAGGAGAGGTGCTTCAGCCCTCTGATCATCTTCATGACCTCCTCTGGCCTCGCTCAAGCAGGTCCACATCCCTCTTGTGTTGGGGGCCTGAATGAGCCGAATGCAGTACTCCAGATGGGGTCTCATGAGAGCATAGTAGAGGGGGAGAATCACCTCGTTTGACCTACTTGCCCATGCTCCTTTTAATGCAGCCCAGTGGCTGGCTGCATTGAGCTGCAAGTGCACACTGCCGACTCATGTTGAGCTTCTCATCAGCTAACACTCCCAAGTCCTTCTCAGGGCTGCTCTCAATCCATTCTCCACCTGGCCTGTAGATGTGCTTGGGATTGCCCTGAACCAGAGGCAAGACTTTGCACTTGGCCTCATGAAGGTTTGTACTGCCCCACCTCTTGAGCCTGTCAAGGTCCCTCTGGATGGCATTCCTTCCCTCCAGAGTGTTGACCATACCGTAACACAGTTTGATGTCATTGGCAAACTTGCTGATGGTGCACTCAATCCCACTGTCCATGCCACTGACAAGGATGTTAAACAGCGCTAGTCGCGATACTGACCCCTTAGAAATGCCACTTGTCACTGATGTCCCCTTGGATATTGAGTCATTGACCACAAGTCTTTGAGTATGACCATCCAACCTTGCTAGCCAGGTTGCAGAATAACTTACTTATTTATCATGAATTCGACAATAAGAGATTCCTTTATTGACTTTCTGTTTTAAAGATGCTTGACAAGAATTTGTTAATTGTCAGGACATCTCAGATCTAAACTTTCTCTTCTAGAGAGGAACAAGCACCTATCTCACTCGAGCGCTAGGTCCTCTCTAGAAGACGAGGTTTAGATCTGAGATGTGTGCTAATCTTTGTCATTTCATGGGAGTCACATTACTTCTTTTTTAAATTGTTTCTGTTCTCCTTTCCTTCATCTTCATATCTACCCGTACTAGAATCAGAGAATCAGACAGAGACTGGGAGGAACCTCTGGATGTCATCTGGTCTCATGCCTTGCTCAAAGCAGAGTGAATTAGATCAGGTTGTTTGGGGCTTTTTCTAGTCGAGTTCTGAGTATTTCACAACTTCTTGGAAGCTCATCCCTTTGTTTGGATACATGGATCCTAACTTCTTTACCACCTTGCGTTTAACAGGGTATTGTGGTACCATGATCATTGAAGATGAGGATGCTGCAATTGGTTTAACACTTGATGATACTAAGCCTGATGGCAGCTTTCCTGCCATAATAGGGTAAGAGAGAAAGAAAGTGTCAAGATTTTTTGTTTGTTTTGTGAGTTGGTTGTTTTGGGGTTGTTTTTTTTTGGAGGGGGGATTTATTTGTTCTTGGTTGGTTGTTTTTTTGTAATTTTGTCTTAGAGGCAACAATTGAAATGGGGAAACCGACTGCTTTTGAAGGGAAATACTTCAAAATAGTTGAAGGGTTGAGTTTCTGAAATGAATTGAGTATGTTCTATAATTTTTTTTTTCAAAGAAAGTTCTCTCTGATTTAATTGCTAATTAAAAAAAAGGAATTCTGTTTTTCTTCTTTTTCTCACTCTCATCTTTTGCCTTTTTATGTGGCAAAGTCAAAAGTCAGAGAAAAAGAAAGGAAGGAGGAAAAAAAGGGATGATTGCAGAAATGCAAAGGTTTTTCCAAATATTTTGTCTTCCCCAAGTCTTCCAGTTCTTTAAATGAAATTTTTTCTAGAATTATATTTTGTTTTATTCTATGTTTTATAATAGCCAGAGAGTATGAGCAATCTTAGAAAGTTTATTAAACATTAATTTCCAATTCAAGCCCAGGCTTTACCTCTTGTTGCTATATGCTTGCCCCCACTGCTGTATAAAATTAAGTTCATTAGGAAACAGCTCATACAAATATTCTAACCTGAATCTCAGAGTGGTTCTTTTCACACTGAGTTCTGCAAGTAGCAGGCAGAGAATATAACATTTTCCAAAATACCCATTCCACCTCTCTGCACAGAGACCGAAAGCTCATACTATGAATCACAGCATCCCATCACAAGGTGTTGGCATTTTAAATAATGCATGAAATGTAACATAATGGAAGTAAATTGTTTGTGGTCTTCCTATAGCTTCATTCTTGCTCGGAAGTGTCGAAGACTGACAGGCCTCACTAAAGAAGAAAGGTAAGTACAAACGCTGGAGATCCATGTGGACATGAGTCAAGATTTTGTTATAAATGACCAGAGCAGGAATAAAATGCCCAAGTTTGAAGGAAGTTGTCTGTAACCTTGTGACAGCAGGCAGACATATCACTTTAAGCAAGAAGATACCTAACTTAGTTTTGGATTAAGTTCTGATTCTCCCTTTTCAGCAGCGGTTCTCTGCTTATGTGACTCTAGCAAAAGAACTGTTCTAAGCTGCTGCATTTGAAAGTAGTGTAGATACTCTGCTGTCCTCATGGGAAAGTGTCCAGGGCCAGCCTCTTTCCACCCCAGTGCTAGCTCTCTGGCTTCCTGTAAGTGCACTGAACTTTTGTCAGAAGGGACATGTTTGGCCACTGTGCTTCATTTCTTTTCTAATTACCCTTGAGGGTCCTTTCAGCATCTATAGCTTAGTGCAATCTTGAGGCTGCTATAGGTGCCATGAATGAGTTCACAGCATTGTGAAGGGGTCAAAAAGCTGCTTCCATCTCTCCACCCTCAGTTTGGGAAAAAAAATGCCCTTCAGACACAGATGAAGGTCTTTTTTACTGTCTTCTTGAAACAAAACTGCACACACTAGTGCTTTTTGGTTTATTACTGAAATGGAATTTACAAAGTAATGGGATTTTTCCATCACACTGATTCACAGTATCTGATCAAATTAAAAGCTGCAAGTAGAGAGTGTGGGTATGAAGAGAGCCTTATTTGGACATGGGAAAAATACATTTGTTTTTAAAGCCATAAGAAATACCGTGTCCAAGTAAACATTATTACAGTAATAACTAGTCTAACTAGAGAAAATGTAGCCATCTCAGATTAGCTTTGCAGGTAGTCTGGTGGCCTGTGGATAATGAGTCTGAATGGGGCTGTTAATATCGCTGTTAATGTTTTCAAATGGCAGCCTGGTACCACAGAGCGCTTTTAATTTTGGCAGGAATGGACAAGGCAGCCTTTTACTCAGCACTCAGGTTTTGAGATAGACTCCCAGCAGGTGACCAATGATAAAAATAGTGTAGTATTCTGAAATTCAGTGTGCCCAGAATTTTAAGCCATCAGAAACACCAAATAGTGTCTTACTCTGTGTGTCAATGCACGAGATACAACTGAGCATTTGCAGTATTTAAGAATGGCTTCTCTTTCTGTGAAATGAAGTGCTGTCCTGACTGTGAGGCACCATGAAGGAAAGGTTGCTTTTCCCTAGGCATTAAAAGTATTAGCACAATTATCTGACTCTGTTGCTGCCTACAGCCAAGTTTTAAACAAAAGGAGTTTAAACTCTTGTGTTTAGAGGAATAAACCTCAGACTAGGAAGGACTTTGCTTTGGTAAAGAATGGCTATAAATAGGTTAGTACCTGATAGATGGTACCCTGGTGTAGGGGTACCCCTCTGATTCCTGCAGTCTTGGCCACAACCAACCAAGGTAGGAACATTCTAGGCTGCACTGCAGCTCCTCTCCTGCACGTGAGCACAAGTCTCCTTAAGTGGAAATCAGGGTCCAGGAGAAGGCAGAACTTGAACCTGGACCTTCTCCCAGCATATGCTCAGGGTGCAACTAGTTTTTGTTGTTTATATGGGGACTAAGGTGTTCATAAACGAGGGATCTCTTCTGAGGACAGGCTTCTTGTGGCACGCTACAGAGGGTGCATCTCGCTGAGATGCTATGCTCACCTATCAACACAATTTGAGCTCTCCTTTTATCACGTTGATGACAGGGTAAGGTTTCTGGTAATCCTTGGATATGAAGAATAGGATGTAGAGTCCATGTCAACTATCCTAAATCATGGCTGGGAATGGCTGTTCTGGGAGGGAATGAAAGATATTTTAGAGCCTAAACCAGACTGAAAGGAGTAAAACTCACTGCTGCCTTCCAGCTGGTCTTCCCAGGCCAGGTGCCAATGAGTACAGTGGTTAGATTGTGCCCTACCTTTCACAGCTGTGCAATGAAGGTGGTGGCATCACACACTGCCATGGATGGAATAAGACACCAGGGAGAAGAACTTAAAGAACTGAGTGTTTGTCTGCATGTGCATTTCTTCCACACCAGGCACAGTGTAACTCTCAACAGGACCTAGCTAGGTAGCTCCAGGCATAACATTCTTCTTACTTAGTGCTGGTGGCAATTTCACAGCTGAGCCTGGAGCCAAGAAATAGGGATTTTACTCAGTGTGTATTCCATATGTTCTGTGCTAGCATTAACCATAAATACATAAATAAGTATTAATTTAAACTGTTCTAGGACAAAAAGCACAGATGTTGCAGAGACACCAGTTCATCTGCAAGGATTGTTCTTATTAGGGGGAATGTCCTCAGTGATAGATAACTGTTGGCACAATTCAATCCTTTAGAAACTGCTTTTCTGTGGTGTTTTTTTTTCCCCTCTTTTTTTTTCTTTTTTTCCTTTTTCTCTTTTTTTTTTCTTTTTTTCTTCCTTTCTTCTTTTTCTGTTAAGTAATACCTTACTGATGAATAATCTCTTTCAAGGTTGAAATTTCTTAAAAGTCTGAAGATGCCCTTGACCTGAAGCTTAACCTTTTCTTTTGCATGACTATCTTTAGCTTTAACTATATTAGAAATGTATTTATCAATCAGTGGCGCACTTGCACCTTCTTGGAGTCCTGCAGTTGGCTCTACATAAGAATCCCTATCAGCTTCTGGTATGCCATTCCCAGGCTCCCTGGAGGGTCTTCAAGTCAGGTGTGGAAAAAGGGCAGGGCACAGGCAGATCTTAAAGGGATCCATCTAACCCCTGTTGTGGTGCTGGCAGGAGCAAAAGCAGATGGGTCCCAAGGTGATAACCTGCTTTCCTGTGGAGCCCTGTGGTGTTATCAACCTGCCCTAAAAGCAGGAGCTGGTGGGCACATGGGAAAGGTGGTAGGCAGACCACAACAGAGGCTTTACTAACTCACTCTGTTAAAATGGCTTTAGTCTGTTCAGACACTGCATTGTCAGTGCTGGTGGTCTGCAGGGTGTGGTGGTCATCATCCAGAGATGGAGAGAGAGATGGAGGAAATGTTCCCTTTTGTTATGGCTTCTGCTGGATCCATTACACCTTTGACTACAGAGGGATGTTCATACGTATAGATCCTGCAACTCTCAGAGCCCAACTGGCCAGTCACTGGGTCACCATGCATTTCTGCTTCTGGAGCAGGCTGACCCTTGTCCTCTGCCTCTGGGCAGAAGGAAGGAGCTGCTTCCTTCCACTCTGCTGCTGTTGGGCTTGACACATGCCAGCAGTAAAATCATCCCAGGGCCATGGCTCTTCCTGAACTCTAACAGCCTTTTTCTTCTTGCTCCAGCCCCCATTTGCACAGGAGGACCTTCAGGTCTTCCTGGTTTGGTTGGGTTTTTTTGTTGGTTTTTTTTGACCCTCATCCCCTTTCTATAGCATTCTTTGAGTTCAGCTGCTCATAGGTATAACTTGCCTCTTGTATAGCTGGGTTGTTTCATCAGCAGTGTCCTGGGTTCCTCGTATACTGATATAGCTGCAAGTATAGCCCATACAGTTACAGAGCTGGGACGGCTCTATTCCTCTGCCCAGCATGGCTACCTGTGGAGCACAGGAAGTAAACTTCCAGAAGTAAACTTCTTTACAGCATTGTGTTTGCATGTTTGATTCTCATAATTGTTAACTATTATTTCACCTCAGTCTTCTTGTGTTTGGTATTTGGTGCAGTACAGTAAGACCCAAAAGCTTCTAGGAAAAACGTAATTGCCCTTGGGATTTGCTGTAGAATGAAGTATATTCATGGGTTTATAGACTCATAAACTAAAACAGGAGGAAATTTTCTAGATACAGAAATAAAGTACTGATTCCCTGAGAGCATCAGTCTATCAATACCTGCATCTTCATAGGAACAGACCATATGTTAGTCTATGTGCTGAGACAGAAAAGTACAATGCCTTACTACTTCATTTTCCTGACAGCCTGGAGGACCTTTGGATAATGATTGGATTTGGGCTACTAGAGGTATCTTAAGGGAACAGCTTGCATTAAGCTGGTAAGCAGCACAGGAGTTTGAGTGCGTTATTTCTAGTGATCCAAAGGCTGATCAATTAGGATAGATCTCAAAAAGCTGGAAACTCAAGATCAAGCAATATTAATATTTGTCCTCTCAAAACTAGGACATATTAGAAATGATTTGTTTTGTCTTTCCTCACACAGAAGTCTTCTGCTGCTTTTCTCTTGCAGGAAGACAAGGCTTTGTGAGCTCTATGCGAAGGTTCTGGGATCAGAGGAAGCTTTACATGTAAGTACAAAAATCTAAAATATGGTGTCTGTTATCAGACTCCTTGAGGAAGGGAAGGGCAGAATCAAACCGAATGCAGCAGTGGTCAGGAACAGTCCTGTGTGGTGTTTTGGAAAAGGTATCTGCAATGGGAGCACTTGCTGCACCATGTAGAGGAATGGAGAGAAGGTTATGGTGTCTTCGGTTGTGTTTGATGGTGAGGATAAGAATGAGCTTATGAAACAGTTAAAAGGCAGATATGCTCTTGTCCAGCTTCACAGGTGGCATTCACAGTGCTTACCACCATACATCTCAACTGTTTTCATATGTTGACAGGCTTGCCTTTCCCTCAGTCTATGTTGAGCATAATGTTTCTTCTGTCTTTCTAGTTGCTAAGATCCATTGCTGCATGTGTTGTTTGCTTTTTGTGTTGGCTTTTTTTTTTAGCTGGGTAGTTGTTTTTGTTTGTTTTATTGGGTTTTTTTGGGTTGGTTGTTGGGTTTTGTTTGGGTTTTTTTTCATTTTGTTTTGTTTTGTTTTCCCTTGCCTTCTCTTCTGTGTAATGGTAAATATAACTAACTGATAGGATTTGTGTGTCGTGGTTCAAGCCCAGCCGGCAACCTGGAACCACGCAGCTGCTCGCTCACTCACCTCCCCACCTTCCTTCCTCCCCCTGCTCCCAGAGGGATGGGGAGGAGAATCGGAGGAATGTAACTCCCATGGGTTGAGATAAGAGCACTCCAGTAACTAAGGTATAATACAAACCACTACTGCTACCAATAATAATGATAAGAGCAATAACAAGGGGAGAGGGTACAACCGCTCACCACCCGCCGACCGATACCCAGCCCGACCCGAGCAGTGATCTGGGCCTTCTGGGTAACTCCTCCCAGTTTATATACTGGGCATGACGTGCTGTGGTATGGAATAGCCCTTTGGCCAGTTCGGGTCAGGTGTCCTGTCTCTGCTTCCTCCTGGCTTCCCCTCCTCCCTGGCAGAGCATGAGACTGAGAAAGTCCTTGGTCAGAGTAAACATTACTGAGCAACAACTAAAAACATGGTGTTATCAGCGTTGTTCCCAGGCTGAAAGTCAAAACCACAGCCCTGCACCAGCTACTAAGAAGGAGAAAAATTGACTGCTGTAGCTGAACCCAGGACAGCGTGAATGTTTGGCTTATGTGATCAATGGCATTTATCTTCTAAGGGCAATTTTACACAAGTTAGATGTTGTAGACACCTATATCAAATTTGCATTATTTAAAACACAAAGATATTGTATGTAGAACCATACAAATGCTATACTTGTAATTTTTAACAGTATATATTTATATCCAGTGTACATATTACAAGTATTATACCTGTGTGTACCAGAGGTTAATTTTGCTTTACATGTCTCAAAGCATAAACTTGTGCTCAAAGCATACATTTACATTGACAGGTAAGAGGATTATGTTCTACAGTGTCCAGATTCGCTCTTTTTTTTTTTTTTTTTCTTTTTAAATAGCTAGCAGTGTCTAAAATTAAGGCTTATTTTGTCGAATCCATGTTGCATTAAAAGATTTGTTAAATGTGCTCCACTTTTCAGACATTGACGTGCAACAAATCATAAGCTATTTTTCTCTGCTGTCTCCTCAATTCTCCTGATAGCTTCCTCAGGACTTTGTCTTTTCCTTGAGTGAATTAATCTCTGTTTTACAGCCAGTGCATTATGAAGAGAAGAACTGGTGTGAAGAGCAGTATTCTGGGGGCTGCTACACAGCCTACTTCCCACCAGGCATAATGACTCAGTATGGAAGGTATAGTGTCTATTTATAGTGGGCTTTGAAGTAGTAAGATAAGACCAAGTTAATAAATATCCTCAGGAAGGGTCATAAATCCTCTGTCACTGTTCGCTTTATACCTTTAAGATCACTGGGGAATATTTTAAATAGGTATTATAATCACTTGTCTCAGTTGGGCTTTATGATGGATGAGTACAGTATCATTAGGGGTTTTATTCACTTCTGTTATTCAGTGAATACAACTGAGTAGCAAGAGAGCTAGAAAGCTTTCACAATGTGTTTACAAAACTAGGTTTGGATATTTGAGATTGGGGTTACCATTTCTGGCATACCTTTAGTTAGTATTTTATAAATAAATACTGACAGTTAATTCTTGCCAGCATTCACAGTAATGAGTGACTTCTGTGGGCTGTTGCTTTACCGTTAGTAGTAAACGCTTAATATAGTAATCTGTGTGCCATTGTATTCAGTCTTCTCTGACATAATTTTTTACATGAAAATAAGATTTACTGAAAAGGAAAAGGCTTACTGGTCAGACTGATTATAGGGTTCAGATACATAGCTTTTAATGTGATGACATAGCCCTTCTTTTGAGGTATAAGTTTACACAATTTAAAAAGAACTGAAAGCAATAAAGCAGTTGTCATGAAGAACATATGGAGGCCTTAGTATTTAAAGTAATTGCAAATTCTGGCAAAAATAGAGTAAAAAAAAAAACAACCCCGCCACCACCAACCAACACCTTGTTTAATTAATTACTTGTTTAAATTTTAATTGCTTGAAATATTGTGAGGATGTACTTCAGAATGCTACACAGTGCCAATAATGCCTAGCATTGGTATTTATGATGCTGGCTAAAATTGTGAGATAGAATAAGTTTCAAACTAGTTGTCCTTTACACATATGAGCAGTGTAAACATTTAGAAAATATGAACACTGGTGTGTTTACTGAAAGAAATGAAATGCAACGCAGACTCCTCCTCCAGCTCAACTCACCCAAACTTACTCTCTCTAAGTGCTTGTTGTTACTTAAAACACTTTTATTCTAACATTAACCCAAGGATTTCAGTTATCCTTCCTGATAATGGCTGATATGACTTACTGCTTGTCCTCCCCCAGGATTATTCGGCAGCCGGTTGGCAGGATCTATTTTGCTGGCACGGAGACAGCCACAGAGTGGAGTGGATACATGGAGGGGGCTGTGCAGGCTGGAGAAAGAGCAGCCAGAGAGGTACAAATGCAAGCATAAACCACAGGGAACTGTCAAATATCCTATGGAAAATGAAAGATCTTCTAGTTGGAGGTAAAATGGGAGCTGGATGTTGACAGATTCAGGTGTTCTGGAATTTTGATGCAAATCATTGTGAAGAGGACAGACTTCAAAAAGGATGAAGGTTTTCCTGAGTGCAAATCAGTGATTTGGAATGCTTAAGAAGGGCTCTGGCTGTTTTATTAAACTCTTTTCTGTTTCCAGGGATTAAATCTTTTCTTAATAGAACAGTCCCAAATTCCCACCGAATCATTTTTTTCTCAAAAATGGTCACTTCATTAGCCACTGTACTGAGATATCATGGCAGCCTCATTAGAAACAGCTCAGTTCTGCAGCTCTGCACACCAAGACAGTCTCTTCCTCAGTTGTTTCCAACAATACCACTGACAGTGACATACTGTTGAGACAGCCTTACATAAGGTCATTAAACAAGGACTTAAATATTTTTCTTCTGAAAAAATGCCAATTCCTCAAGCATTCTCAGGAATATTACAGTTTATGGAGCAGCAAAATATATTTCATCTTTGTTTTATGAGGTGAAGGGAATCTCATGGCTAAAAAACTACAATATTGGAACAGAAATTAGTGTGAAAGGAAACAAGAGTTTGTCTAGCCCATAACCCTGCCCCAAAATACAGGGATCAATTGTCCCAGGAGTGAAGGTACCTAACCTTTCCCTTAAAACTTCCAGAGGTAGTGCTTCTTGACCTCTCTAATGTAAGGACATTACAGCAGAACCTCCGTAGGCCTCAGCAGAGAAGTTGGCAAGTGAGCTTGATTGGCAAAAACGTTTTCCTTTCCTCAGTTACTTGTGAAAGGAAAATACGCTTAAAATCTGGTGCAAGGGTGTTTCTCACTCTCCTGTATTGAAAAGTTGACAGGGTTCATGAATCTTGTCTGGAATAAAAGCACATCATAAAAGAAGTCGAATCTTAAATCTACAAGTGCCTGGAATAGGAAAAATAGTATTTCATAAACCTCTCTTCTGTTTTACTGCAGAAGTTAATCTTGCTGTCTTCCATAACTACCATTCAGATAATCCTTGCTAACCTACTGGTATCTGGTATCTTTGATACTTTGAATGGTTAACTTTCCACTGTGAAGGTTTTCTTTTTAGTCTTGCTCTTCTCTGGATGAAAATGGTGATCTGTCATCACTCACAGGATTCTGTTCCTCTTCCTACATCGTGGTAAAATTTGTAAAACAAGCTAATCCTGGTTACATAGCTTGCCCATGCTGTAGCTGGTTTATGCATGGCTAGGTTGGATGGGGCTTTGAGCAACCTGGTCTAGTGGAAGTTGTCCCTGCCCATGGCAGGGAGTTTGGAACTAGATGATCTTTAAGCTCCCTTCCAACCCCAGCCATTCTGTGATTCTATGTTCTATGCCTCACTTTGCCATGAGTGTATACTTAACTCTTAGATACTAGTTCCCCGTGGGACTAGTTGAGTTCCAGTATCTGGCATAGACTAACTAAGCATAGTAAGATTTTTCTGTTACTGTTTCTATTTTCCACTAGGAGGAATGTCTTATTAAATACCAGGCCTCCCCAGAAATAAGTTGTGCAAGGGTTGAGTCTTCTTGTAAAATCTGAATACAGAGTGATGTATGTGCTCAATTGTTCTCTTCATCATGCTGTTTAAAAAGAAAAATTGAAGCCAGCTCTTTTACCCTTTCAAAGGATGAATGGTACTTTACTGGAGTATGTTATTTATTTACAGATACTATTTGCTATGAGGAAAATCCCAGAGAATGAAATTTGGAAGCCAGAACCTGAATCAATTGTAAGTCTTACTGTAGATGAAATGGATTATTTTTTCGTGCAGTTTTTGCCTATGATGTAAAATTTTGTTGGCCATTTTTATTTAATTTCACTATATCAAAGCCACCATAAACTTTTCCTTACTCAGCAAAACTGCCCTTCCCTAAACAGGAGCATGCTATAAACTCAGAAAGGATGCCCATTTGACAACTCTGTAGCAGGAGATCAGAAAGAGCTACACTTCTTAACCATGCTATGAAACCTTTCCATGTGTCTCCTCTTCTTCCCTTTAACTGAGCAGAAAATTTTGACACAATGTACTTTTTGATAACACAAACTGCTTTAATCCAGTTCTGTTTCTGCCGTAAGAATCTCTATTTACACCCTACCTCTCACAATGGAAATAATGTTATGTTGGTAATGGATGCTCTCCCTGCAGGATGTTCCAGCTTTGCCCATCACTACAACCTTCTGGGAGAGGAACTTGCCGTCTGTGCCAGGACTGCTAAAGCTGATTGGATTTTCCACTTCCTTCGCCTCTGTGGCTGCAGCTGGGTTATTTGCCTATAAAAAGGGACTTCTAGTTCGAAACTGAAGAAGGTGCCAATGCAAAGCCCCACACTTACTTGAGCAGTTTTGGTTTTTTTCAGAGGGTTTTTTTTTTTTCTTTTTGGCATGTACTTCTCTGTCTCCAAAATAAGATCAGGACTGGGGAAAAGGAGAAGGCAGTAGAGAGAAGAGGCTGAAGGGAAGGGATAAAGGAAGGGGATCCATATTGAAAAAGAACCCCTTGAATTCAGGCCTACTTCTAGCAGTACCTTTTTGGTTGTTGAATTTGTAGGATACCATGTCAAGCATTACCACTTTGAGGTTTGTATCCAGATCCAGATCTCAGAACAGAATTGACAAAATACCTCTCTGAAGTCTGTTCTGACGAGACTTCCAGTTGCTTTTACACTTAAACCTGAACTAGACCCTGAACTCCAAGTCTTCACAGGCCCTTCCATTTCTAGTTGTAAACAAAGGATTTCTGTCTTCCTGTGCAGTAGAGTGAGAAAAGAAATCCAGAGCTTAAAGAATAATTAACTAGTTCATGCAAATTGCTGGTAAGGATCTTTTTAGTGTTTTTGTTTTTCACTCTGATGTACAGAGCCCAGGCAGCACCTAACAGACAAGAGAGGCTAAATTTATCCATCCAAACTGTGCAAGTGTGGCCATAGGTTGCTGGCATTTCCAGCGGCATATTTGTCCTACAGTAAGTTCAAGGACAATGTTTTTACCGCCTTTGGCAATGTGGTTGAATTTCAGGCTCCACAGCTTTGTTCACATTGCCTGGAACATCAGAACTCATCCACCCCTGTGTGGGATTGAATCTCCTCTGCCTAGAAAATTGGCAGGCTCCAGACAATAGCTGATATGTACAACAGTATGGCAGATCAGGCTGTTGGATCTGAGTGTGCCAATGTACACATACAACCTTTCAAACCTGTTTTGCCCTGTCTGACATCTCTTTGCCACCAGGGTCCTCTTTTTAGCTCCCTAAGTTGCTGCAACATAGCAAGAGAACAAATTAACCTCTGCCTACCCCAAAAGGTTGTAAAGACCTCCATTAGAATCCTCTTTTACATATCTTTTTCTTACCACCTGCCTTTCTTTCATCTACCTAAATTTACACTTTGGATACCTTGAGGCTGTCTGTTGCCTGGTAGGGCACAATGGACTTGAAAATACAGTATAAGCATTATAAAAATCTGACAAAACCCTCAGCTTAACTGCTGCTCAATACTTGCTTCATGCTGAACACTGCTTAGCTGATTCAGAGCTTCAGTCTCTCCTAACAACCATATTGATGGGATTAGCACTTCCACTTCTGCCTGCTGTGCTATGTTGTACTGACTGCACTTTTGGTAACTAATGAAAGATCTAAATTATAGAGAGATCAGAGAACCATGGTTAAGATAGTCACATGCAAGTGCTTCTGCCCTCCCTCCCTTGGTACCTTTCAAGCAATGTAAAAAGAGAATAGAAAAAAGAAGAGGGGGGACCCCAACCACCAAAACCTTACACGCCTACCTGTCAACATGGCAGTACCTTGTTCTAGGTATTTCTGCTGTTTTTCAGGTACACAAGTATAGCTGAGAACAGGATTGGGTACACATGAAATCTGAGATGTCTGGAATTTTCCTGAGCCTGTTTGCTGCGCTTCTCGTTTCAATCAGTGCTGATTTATATTTAAAATATTACATTGTAGTAGAAAGCCATGGAGGGAAGTACAGTAGTATATTCAGCAACTAGTGTGAGCAGAAGGTAGAGGAACTGTATCACCAGTCTCAGGCAGACTCTTTGGGCTACCATCTGATCTTGCTTGTGCAGAGTGGTACTTCATTCTCCAAATAGTCCCATGGAAATCCACTGAACCACTTATAAAGATGTAATATTTGTTAGCAGCACATCAGTTTCTGGCCCTTAGGTTTGACTCTTTTTAACTTGATGTGCCAGTTAAAAATCTTCTTGTAGCAGCAGTTTGGATTTTATCACAAATGAATATCCTCGTAACAGCCTTTTAAAATGCATAGGGGAACTTTTCAGACATAAAGATCTTTGAGTCAGAAGAACAGTGCGGCAGTGTACATATGGCCTTTCTCATTGTATCACATAGAGCAGTAATTGGCTGAGACATTTGCCTACCACAGTGTGCTTCTACATGGCTTTCTCTCTGTGATTTATTTACTAAATGAATTAGGAACTGAAAGCTGAATGGGTAAGTTCAGAGCCTTTGTAACTCAGATAATTCTCGGGCCAGAAATAAACATAGGAATCTAAATTTGGGAAGATAGTTTTAAAGTGTTGACCCAATATTTGTAAGTGCTAGACGGTGAATACATACTTAACATATAAAGAACTACCGCATTTGAAGATGATTTCTCTGCCAAAACTGTTTGGAATTTGAGTCCTGCTTCTGCCCTAGAAATAGTCTGCAGGTCTCTAAAGGGGAGCAAATCCATGAGACTATTTAGGATAAATTGGTTTTATTCACGTCTGATATGTGTATTCCTTTTTTTTGCTCCTGAATCTGGCAGAGGTTTTTCCCAGTCTAACAAGACAATGTTGTGTGTCATAAGGGCAGAAAATCCAAGGAAAAAAAGAAGTATAGTTAAAACTGAACTGAATCATAACCAAAGCTTTTAATGAGAAATTAAATCTATATAAATCTTTCTTAATCTTAGTTTCAAAGTCAAACAAAACTAAAAAAAACCCAGAAAAGCAAAACACAAAACATTTCTTATGTTATTCTGCTACAACTAAAAGCAGGTGCATCTTAAAATCTCAAATTAAATTTGGATTCTCTGAGATTTCTAGCCAAATCTGATGGAGCTGGGAGTTCTGAATTGCAACGTCTGTATTAGCACTCAAAAGTCTCTGTCTTCTTCCTTCCAGTCTGCCAAAGCCTTAGGAATGATCTCTTTGTCTTTACAGCCGTATCTTGCTGTGATGATGCTGTGGAGTTTATTGCCACCATGGGATTAAAAAGAAGGATTTGCTGCTGTTTTCTCAACATCTTCCACGTAAAAGGAATATGTGGCACTTTGTGTATGTGGATGCCAGTGTGATGAGAAAATTGACAAATGTAGGTAGAGAATCAAGATGCTTCCCCATGGGTGGAGGGAAGTGTTAGCACTGGCTTGCATTTTTAAAATTCCTTTGTGCCAACCCTTTGAAGAGAGGAATGAAGTCTGGTTTAATAGGTAACCAGTCATGCTATATTATTAATTTCTTAATATAATTGATGAAAAATCTGCTATCATGAAAGTTCCAGCAGTTTACCAGCTTCATAAAATGTATTATAGAACAACCATGGAAATAATTGTATTGTCTCTTATGAACTGATTAGTGTTATCATGCGTATTTTGTAAGGCTCTTAAGAGTTTGCAAAAAAAAAAAAAAAAAGAGATTTACTTGCTTGTACACTGTTCTGATAGCAACTGTCTATTGCAAAGAATGTTGGGTAACGGCATGAAAATCTGTGTTAACCAAAGTGCTTGAACGCTAACTGTATAAACTACAATAAGAAGGAGGTGAGAGATCTGAGGCCGCCCCTTCCTTGTCTTTAACTACTGTGGTTCTTTTCTCAGTGACGATTTTGACTCCAAATAGCACATCTACTATAAATACAACAACAATAAATGTTTGTAAAAGACATTAATCACAATTAAGTATACGTCTGAGCATTGTCCATCACTGAAACCCAAGGCCTGGAGTCCCTTTGGTGGGACTGTTGTTTCACTGAGGTAAACTTTTATAAAAATGCAGAAATTTTAAGGTGGGTTTTTTTTTTTTTTAAGACATAAAAGCAAAATATTTGTGAGGAAGAAGAAACTGCATGTCCTCCAATAGTACGTGGATGCAAAAGGTAGCCAGGATGAAATAACAACAGATCTGCCCCTGCTCTCAGGCAAGAAGCAAAGCCACTTAAATTGCAGATTGCAAATGCTCACAAATAAACCTGACCTGGGTTTAAATGAACTAACATTACCTCTCCCATCTCCACGACCTTATGGTCACCTTGATCTTACAATCTGTTGTTCAATAGAGATAAAAACGTGGTGGCCAAAGCAGTCTTGCTTTCGAAGTATCTCTACAGTCAAGTTGTTTAGGCGTTGTCATAGGCTGCCGCTTATAGCGTGTCTCCTGTGGTCATGTACAGGTCAGTGTTCAGTGATGCCTGCCTCTGTGTTTTGGAAAAAAAGAGTGACTTCACTGTGCAGGAATATATATGCTGTGTGTGTGATGAATTTGTGCCTTTTATAACTGTAGCATTTTCTCAAGTGCCTCTGTGGTGACTGTCTCCCTTGGTTTCCTTCTTAAGCTCCCTTTTCAATAGACTGCAGATATTTTTATCTGACAGCTGTGAACTTTTTTTAACCTTAATTAGAATCAATAAATATTGTCATGTCACACTTACTGTTTGAGGCTTTTCTTTTGTGCAAGCCCCTTTTGACTTGGTTGTGATGGTTATTACTTAGTAACACAACATTTTGCATTTCATGCTGAAGCCAGTGAGTTATCTTCAGTTTCTCTCATTTAAGACAGCTTCTCATTTAAGACAACACTTTAAAGAAGGAGAGAAGGATAAAACAAACCCCCAAAAATAATTAAAAAAACCCCACCAAAACCAAACACACTCCCCAATAATAATTATTCCTAATGCGTAGACAAGCAACTGTCTTACACTCAAAATTATGTTTATTGTTCTAGATGGATTTAAAGTGTCCCTGTCATAAATATACCTCTCACAGCACCTTGTTTACCAGAACATATATTGGCACGGACTCATTTTATAGCTGCTCATAAGAAACGAGGGCAGGTGGTGTTTGGCTGTAGCTGAACATAGGAAGAAACAGATCTTGTACCAAATACTGTGTGGTGTAAACATAAAATAAAATGGAAGACAAAACAAACAAAAATTACTGGCTTAATTTCATCCAGCAGCCAGTGTCAGTGCTAGAGAAAGAACGTAACTGAAGAACAAATTCAGTCTTGGGAATGGACCTGTGTTTCACAAAAATATGAATACCGGAAAAAGCATAACCATCCATGTGAAAAACGCGCCAAAAGCATGTGAAGCTCTTTGTATAGGCTTAACTTTCAGTATTACTTACAAGTTATAAAGGAGCACAAATACTATGAAAGCAAATATCCTCAGCTAATCCTTTGCATGCTCTATAAAGCATCCATTTCCTAAGGAACATATTGGAACCAGCAACACATTTCACAGGCCCTCAAAGCAGCTCACAAATGGTTATGACTCTTAAACGTTGCTGCCTTGTGTCATATT